ATCTACCACATCATCCAGTGATGAAGTTATCAAGCCTTACAACTAAGTTACGGGTCGTATTCGATGCATCGGCCAAAAGTACTTCCAACTTATCCTTGAACGATGTGCTTTTGTGTGGTCCAACTGTTCAAGATGATTTAGTTACAATATTGATGCGATTCCGTAAACACCAGGTTGTCATAACAGCAGACGTGGAGAAGATGTTCAGACAAATAAGGGTAGCTGAAGAAGACCAAGACTGGCAAAGGATAGTTTGGAGATCGCAGCCAGATATAGCATTAGAATTGTATCGACTTACAACCGTAACTTATGGCACAACTTCAGCTTCATTTATGGCAACAAATTGTCTTGTATCGCTATCCGAAGAAGCAAAACAGAAATACCCAGAAGCGTCAAAGGTCATACGCCACGACTTCTATATGGATGATTTAATGACCGGTGCCAGCACAATTGATGAGTGCTGCCAGTTACAGAAGCAAATCGACTCAATTCTAGAATCAGCACACTTTCCCTTGCGCAAATGGTGTTCGAATTCAACTGAGGTTTTAGAGCACATTGGCAATTCAAGCAATGATCCGCTATTTGCACTACAGATTGGTGAAGAGGACATAATCAAATCATTGGGGCTTAGTTGGAAGCCAGCGTTGGACGCATTTCAATTCATAGTAGAGCAGAGAGTATTTATAGCTAAGTCGACAAAAAGAACGCTATTATCTGATCTAAATAGAATCTTTGACCCTCTAGGGTTGCTGGCGCCTGTGCTGGTAAGAGGAAAAATATTCTTGCAGCAGCTGTGGCAGTTGAAAATAGAATGGGACCAACAGCTGCCAGAGGAATTGTCAAAGAGATGGTACACATTTTATCAAGAGTTCAATGATCTAAGTTATCTACCTATTCCGAGAAAGTGTATACCTTACCAATCTGTGGAAGTTGAAATCCATGGGTTTTGCGACGCATCGGAAGAGGCCTATGGATCTGCAATCTACGTACGAAGTAAAGATATGACGGGCTGCTGGCACTCCCGATTGCTTTGTGCGAGGACACGCGTCGCGCCATTAAAGGGGTCGACAATACCAAGGCTTGAGCTGGGGGGAGCATTAACACTCATTCAGCTATCGATAAAGGTGTCCGAGGCCTTAGAGATGGATGTGAAAAAATTTTACCTATGGACGGATTCTATGGTAGTGCTTGGTTGGCTAAATTCACAAACTTGTAGATTGAAAACATTCGTGGCCAACCGGGTAGAGGAGATTCTAGAGACTACGCAGCCCGAGCAATGGAGGCATGTCGTGACAAGCGAAAATCCAGCTGATATTCTCTCTCGAGGAACAACGGTGAATAATCTTCAGAACATGAACCTATGGTGGCAGGGACCACATTGGTTAACGTCAGAGTCAGACGAGTTTAAGAAATCAGTCATTACAAACCAGAATCAGGACCTGCCGGAGCAGCGCAAGATTAAGCTAGCATTGTTGGCAGTGAATCCGCTAGGCAACCTTTTCCAGCACTATTCCAGTTGGCGGAATCTGCTATGTGCAGTGGCATGGATTGCGAGGTTCCTAAGGTATTTAAAGGCGAAAAAGAACTTGGAGGTGCCCAAATATCTAACCGTATCTGAGCTGAAATCAGCAGAGATAACAGTGCTAAAGCAGGTACAGAAGGAGGTGTTTGCAAGAGAGATATTGGAACTGGAAAATGGTAATGATGTAGGAAGAAATAGCAAGCTAAAGGGACTCTCACCGTTTTTAGAAGACGGCTTGATCTTAGTCGGTGGACGATTAGGACACGCGCAAATCCCTGAGCGCCAAAAGCACCCAATAGTGTTGCCTAATGGTCATAGAGTATCGAGGCTAATTTTCGAGAATAAACATCGGGAACTTCTACATTGCGGGCCACAGTCACTGCTGGCTGACATCAGACGTGTATACTGGCCAATTAAGGGACGGATTACGGCGCGATCAGTCATATCAAAGTGTGTAAGATGCGCTAGGGCAAGGCCACAATGTTCACAGCCACTAATGGGACAACTACCACAGCAAAGAGTCAATGTCTCACCGCCGTTTGCTGTAGCAGGTGTTGACTTTGCAGGGCCATTAATTGTCCGAAGTGGAGTACGTCGAATTGTCGGAACAAAAGCCTGGATATCACTATTTGTCTGTTTTTCGACAAGAGCTATTCATCTAGAAGTGGTAGAGAATCTATCCAGTGGTGCTTTTGTAGCTGCGCTTAGGCGTTTCATGGCACGAAGAGGACGTTGTGTGAAAATATATAGCRACAATGGGACTAACTTCGTGGGCGCCCAGAAGGAACTCAACATTCCAATTCAACAAAGCATACCTGTATTAGCCAAGGAAGGTGTTGAATGGCATTTCAACCCGCCCTCTGCTCCACATTTTGGCGGCTTATGGGAAAGTGCGGTCAAAAGTGCTAAACACCATTTAACTCGTATGCTTGGTGAAACCAAACTCACCATAGGCGAGCTCAATACCTTACTGTGCCAGATTGAGGCATGTCTAAACTCACGACCGCTCACACCAATGAGTCATGACCCTTCAGAGCCAGAAGCACTGACCCCAGCCCACTTCCTAATTGGTAGGCCCATCACATTAATGCCTGAAGTAGACCTGACCCAAGAAAATCCAAGAGGCATGCGCAGGTGGAAATACGTACAACACCTAAGCCAAACATTTTGGAAAAGATGGCATGCAGAATATTTACCACAAATGCAAATTCGAGGAAAATGGACAACAAAAAAGGGACCACTGAAGATCGATGATATTGTAATAATAAAGGAAGATCATGTACCACCTACCAGATGGAAGCTTGGCAGAGTCGTTAAAGTCCATCCAGGAGTAGATGGAGAAATCAGAGTGGTTACAGTACGAACTGGTTCAAGAACGGAAATGAAAAGGCCAGCAGTTAAACTATGCCGACTCCCAACAGACAAAGACCTAACTATAGATGCAGACGAAGAGGTAGTTGAAAAATAAATTTTCAACGCGGGGGAGAATGTTGCCGCCGCAACATAATTATAGGTATAGCATAATAGTATTTAATTAATTAACATCGGACAGCGAGGATGGCTGGACACAAACACACACACAC